ACACACAACCCGTATCGCCCTAAAGAATGCCCAGACACATACCACACGCATAGACAGTCTCGCCCATTCACCACACAGCCAAACATATAGCCTATGCACATAATGACACCCTGCACAGACACCACACGTGCCACATGGAGACACACCCAGCACAGCAGCATACAGTCTAACACGCTCAGCACACACACTACACATTCACTTACACCACACCCCCAAACTCATCCCACTGACCAACTGCACATATAAAGGAACACACGTGTTACACGATACACATATTCCACATACAGGGACACATCATATCACCATGCACCCTACATGCACCACACACCCAAACACATACTACCGACACACTAGCACAAATGGCACACATACACCATAGCCACATACACACACTCCTACCCTCTCTGCGTACACACACCACGTGTGTACTAGACGCTACACATACACATCGTACCAACACATGGTGTCACACAAGCTGCACACACATAAACCACACCAACATAGACAGTATCATACAAGTTGCATACACACTCACGTAGTCACTCAGGCACACTGCGCATACACTCACACCACACCCCCAAACATACCCCATACCCTCGTGCACACGCTGTGTGCACACTCACTCGCCACACTGCCCACACACAGCCCAGCGGTTTTCGTTTTCCTACGGGGCAAAGAAAGGATTAAAAAAGCAAAAAAAACCCAAAAACCAGGTCTGTAGGTCTGTCCACTCCTAGTTTGGGGTCTGCAGTTTTCATCTGGCATCTGTCCGGACTTGTGTCCATCTCGAGTTCCCTCGGCAGGGGTCACGCGTCTCCCCGCTGAACACCTCTGATGTTCTCCTCTGGGACACCGAGCAGCCCAGAGCACCTGGACAAAGGAGGGCGTTCGTCCTGCTCTGAGGGCCGTCGGGGGAGATACGCTGTGGTCACTCCAAGTGCCCGTGGTCGCCGGCCTGGTGCTCCTCTGGATTTATGAGCTCCGCCTGGAAAGTGCCTCTCGCTGTCACGGCCGTGCTGGGGCCAGTGGGAAAAGAGACACGCCTGGTTCCTGAAAGGAAAAGGATGCTCCCATCCGGGAGCTCTGGGTGTGCGTGGCGTGGGGGAAATGCTGCTCGCTGACACGGTGATTCTCCTGCCCCTGCCTAAGCGTGACGGCATCAGCAGGTCGCAGAGTCAGGCCCGCAGGAGTTTAACCGGCTGGCTGTGCAGGAGCCCACCGCCGGAGGGAAAGAGAGAGAGAGATGGGTCCGAAGAAACAACGCCGGCATCTCTTGGTAGACGTCCAAACAATTCAGAGAAAGTGTTTGGCACCCGAAGTGAGGACCATTTCTGAGCAAACAGCCTGTGGGGAAAGTTCACCGGAAGGGAGCCCCCATTGGCAAGACTGCCTTAGCCTCTTCGGCAGCGGCTTGGGGCTCTTATCCCTTTAGTTACTGTCGTTGCAGAGGGTCGTTCTTGGCTGGAGAAAGCCCATGCCTATAAACGACTTTTATTTTTTAAAGTAGTGTTCTTTATTTGGAACTTGGGCCTTTGGGTGTGTTGAGAACTTTGGAGAGGCTTCGAAACCATTTTCGGGGTGGGAGGGTGCGTGTAAGCCACAGTTCTTCACAGGACCCTCCCTCCCGACCATTCCTTCTGAACCCTCCCCTCCCTCCTCCCTCGATGTACAGAGATGCACAGAATCCAGCTCATCTCTGAGACATCTTTGAAACACCGATCGCACATTCATTCTGTCTGCTAGACCGTGGGGCGGGGAGTGGTATTTCTTGTCGTTTTACATTCATGGCAACAACAAAAACATTTTTTTAAGCAAGTCAGACCAAATTTTTATTTCTCCGTGCGTAGGACAGCTATATTTGCCCTTTCCTAGTAAGGATCCAGGGCGGAGTAGTGGTGACGGATTGACACGCTTACCGCAAAGTCAGCAGTTCAGAACCACCTGGAGTTCTGCCGGGAGAAAGGTGGGTCTTCGGTAGAGTTACAGTCTCTGAACCTCACAGGGGGTGGCTCCACTTTGCCCTACAGGGTCACTATGAATTAGAATTCATTCAATGTTAGGGTTGGTTTTTGTTGTTGTTGTTATTAGAGCTAACCATGACCTGAGGCAGAGCATCTTGAGTGATGGAGCCCAGGCGATTGGAAAAGCAGCTCCAATCGCCTTACTGCTGGCAGGGTTGTAAAATAAAGGTAAAAATAAAGCCCGCTTTGCACAGGGCCATCGAGCTGGGTGCAGTAAACGAGGTGCGCCTGCACAGGGTAGCTGCCCAAGGCTCAGCGGCTGCCTCCCTCTTAAAAAGCACTGACTCCGAGAAAATGGTTTTCTCGTTATCTGAACTCTGTGTCCCTCCCACCCCCAGACTGCTGAATGGCTGGTCTGGGTCTCCTGCCTGGGGAGAGGGCAGGTCCCTCCAAGCTGCTTCCACTCAAGTCTCTTGAGAGAGAGAAGGGTTTTGTGATGAGGCACAGCTTCCAGGCAGGCTTTGACAACAGCCTATCTCATTGGGGAGGAGATGCTGGGGCGGGGTCGAGGGGGAGAGGAAACAGCCAGAGGGATGATTATTCTCCTCAAAGCGTAGCTCATTCAAACATCCCCTTGTCCTTGGTGTGTTATTTATTGATTTAAACAGCTAGCATTTTTTTAATCCTTGCCAGAAATGATCAGCCTCTACATGGTGATCCTTGTGAACAGAGAGGACGCTGGGTCTGTTTTCTGAAGGATTAACTGTTCCCCGGTTGCTAATCAGCACTGTTCACCCAGGGCTGGTGGGTGGGGGGGGGGGGTGCTGGTGGTGGAGGACTGGAGCAGAGGGATTGGGAGGAGAGTGCCAAGATTTATAGGTATTGAAAAGAACAGGTTGTAGCCCAGGCACCGCATGTTCTAGCTGTTTTCCAAAATGAACATTTCGGTCTTGTTCACATCACCCTCCCTTCGATTTATACACGTTGCCCCAGCATGTCCTGGCTTTGCTGTTGTGATGGGACCTCTCTTCTGCTGCTCTTTGACTGCGCCATCCTCACAATCACTCCTAGGCTGAAGCCTGTTGCTGCAGCCACTGGTCACCCTAGCTTCTCCGGGGCCCCCCTCTTCATCGCTGCCTCTCTGCTTGACCATGCATGATGTCCTTCTCCAGGGACTGGTCTCTCCTGACAATGTGCCCAAAGTTCATGCGAGGAAGTCTCACCACCCTTCCCTCTAAGGATCATTCTGACTGTACTACTTCCTGTAAAGATTTAATTGTTCTTTTGACAGGCCATGGTACGTTCTTTTATATACATGCACATACATTTGTGTGTGCATATATATATATTCATATACATATATGCGGAGCTCTTACAGATATAGTATAACAATCCATAGTTCAGTTAGATCAAGCATAATTTTACAATTGCTACCGCCATCAGTTTCAAAACATGTTCTTTTTCCTTGAACTCAGGCCCCTTCACCCCCTCATTATTCTTTGCCAAAGCCAGAGTTCAAGCGCATCGATTTTTCTTAAGTCTTCCTTATTCGGTGTCCAACTTTCACCTGCATATGAGGAAATTGAAAATATCACGGCTTGGGTCAGGTGCACCTTAATCTTCAAAGTAGCACCCTTGCTTCTCAACACTCTCAGTCAAGCGGTGCAGCAGACTTGGGGGGGGCGGGGGGGCTGCAGATTGAGCTGTGACCCACAGAGTCTTCAGTTCAAAACCGGCAGTCTCTCCAAGGGAGAAAGAAGGGGCTTTCTACTCTCGGAAAGAGTTAACTAGTCTTGGAAACTCACAAAGGGCAGTTCTGCCCTGTCTTATAGGGTCACCATGAGTCGGCATCAACTGGATGGTACTGAGTTTGCGTGTGTGCAGCAGAATTGCCCAAGGCAATGCTTCGTTTGTCCCTTCGACGGCTGCTTCCATGAGCATTGATGGTGGCTCTAAGCAAGACAGAGTTCTTGACAATTCTAGCCTTTTCTCCATTAATCACGATGTTACTGAGCGGTCCAGTTGCGAGGACCCGGGTCTCCTTGACATTGGGTGGGGGTCCATTCTGAAGGCTGCCATCCTGGATCTTCATCAGCAAGTCCTTCAAGGCCCTGCACTTTCAGCGAGCAAAGCTGTGTCCTCTGCCCATCACAGCTTGTTAATAAGCCGTCCTCCAATCCTGACCCCGATTCGTCTCCCCGTCCCCCAGCTTCCCTGATGATTTCCTCAGCATACAGATGGGAGGTGTGGTGAGAGGCCACAAGCCTGCTGCACACCTTCCCCTGCAATGCGCCCTTGCGAACCTGCTATTTGTTCCACACGCAGGTTCTGCACGAGCACAGCGAAGTATTCTGGGATTCCCCTTCCTCTCAAGGGTGTCCGCAGTTTGAGATGATCACACAGTAGAATCACTTTGCAGAGTCAATGACAGACAAGTAACATCTTTCTGGTATTCTCTATCCGAGAACCACCACGGCCCTCCTCCATCAGACAAACTCACTCTTCCCATGAAGGGCGGTTCGCTTCCATAGGCCGGATCATTATTTGTGCCTTTGCAGTACTCGAAATGTGAGCAACCCGAAGCGCGTGGGTCTCTTCACCCTGGGCAGGGGGGCCGTGTGGGCCGTTTCAGACACAGGCAGAACTAACCATCAGGATTTATAGCTATGATGGGAGCACCCAATCCCACAAGTTTCTGCTCTCCATGGGAACGCTCACCCTCCCGGGAGTACTGCCCACTGCCCCAGTGTCTCCAAAACACACAAACGGCGGATCCCAGTGTCTGTGTCATGGCTGGTGGGCAGGCATCATCCACAGGACCCCAGAGCGCACGTGCAGGTTCATGTCACAATGAGAAATGCGGAATAACAAGACCAGCCGGACGTGAGGAGTCAGTAGGTGTGCTCAGGGACTTTGCCGCTGTCAGGAATTCAGAGCACAGCCCTGAAGGTCAGACGAGTAGTGTTTAGACGCATCTTCACGCCCCACCTTCAGGTGCACTCTTTGTTCTGTTCGGTCTCACCATTCCCGTTTTTTCAGCTCCAGGAGGCTGACATCGTGGTACTGGGCTCACCCAAGCCGGAAGACATCCCCCTCAGTTGGATACAGCCAGGAACTACCATTCTCAATTGTTCTCACGATGCTTCAGCCGGTGAGTGGCTTCTCTGGGCGGACTGTCCTGAGAAAGGTCAGCCTTGTGTGGTCAGGAGAGAGCGTGAGCCCGACGGACGGGTTCAGAGTCCCAGCGTCCGTGTGCAGTGTAGGACCCCTGGGATGGTTGGGAGGCTTCCGGGGGGTTCCTTGCTAGGCAAAGAGAAGCCAAAGCAGTAGCTGCCCCCTCTTCCTCCCCTCATGCAGTGAGAGTGACCTCAAGTATATTATTTGTGGTCGTTGGGCTGCTAACCTCAAGGTCAGCAGTTCGTAAACCACCAGGTGCTCCATGGAAGGAATGTGAGGTTCACTATTCCGGTAAAGAAGTACCATCTCAGAAACACAGGACTAGTTCTATCCTGTTCTGTAGAAGGGCAGTGAGTCTGGTTTTTTGTTTAGGATAATCTACCCACCCCTTGTCTGGCTGTTTCTTCTGCGGTGCTGGCTTGCGGTGCTGTGATGTTAGGAGCTCCGTCACCTCTATTTCCATTACCGGCCAAGACATGTCACTCAATGTCAAAAGCCAAAGTTCATTCTTCCATACCTGCCATCCTCTGGGACTCACTCACAGCCATCAAGCCAACTCTTCTTCGGGGAAACCCTGTGGGTTTCCGGAACTGTTACTCATCACAGGAGTAGAAAGCATCCTCTTTCTCCCTCAGAAGGGCTGGAGGCTTACAGTTAGCTGCCCAACACATAACCACAAGACTACCACCTGGACGGAGCATCATGAGAAATGGGCATAGATTGACTCCTCACCTGCTCTCTAGGAAAGATAGCTTCTCAGTGCCCCAGAATCTTACCAATCGGATTCCAGTTTGCTGCGCTGAACTGCAGGGGCAGATCGGATCCACCAAGGTGCCCAGGAGCTTCCCCGGGAACTCCTCAGGACCTCTCAGATGAACACAGCAATTGTGGGTGCCCCTGCTAGGTGCCATAGAACTCATTCCAACTCACGGCACACCCGTCCACAGTGGGATCCGGCCCTTGTGATCCACGGGTTTTGTTTTTGTTTTTAAATAGTTTTATTGGCTTATAATTCACAATATCTTCACTTATACTTCAGTAGTTCAGCCATATGACAAAGAGTTGTACAGTCATCACCAGTCAGTTCTAGAACATTTTCTTCCTTCTTGTACTCATTGTTTGGAGCTCCCTGCTTCCCTGCACCCTC